AATTCGACGATCTAAATAGTCGTTCATTATAAACAATTTATGATTACTTAACAACATTTTTTCTCATTGCTTTTAGATTTCGTGTTATAACTCAGTTTAATGAATAAGAATGTAGATTTTGATACTTAAAGAGCACTTTTGTTTGTAACTTAAAAATAGCAATGAATGGATTGAAATCGTTGTTGCATAATGTTTTTATGGTTTGTTATCAACAATTAATCTTGATAAAATATTCCTTCATCGATTTTAATTTTCAAGTTAAAAGAAATTTTATGATCTAAACAGTCGTTTTCNTTTCAATCTAACAAATTATATATTTATACTTAGCAGTAACACAATAATTTACCAACAAAAGCCAACTTTATATCCCACCATTATGGAGAAGGGTGAAAACTCTACTCGGGAAAACTTTACGACGTCGTGTTGAATGTAAATCTAAAACTATGTAGGCAAATATCCGGGGTTCGTATAATATTTCCACTACCGAGGATGAAGAAGACAACAACGGCAGCGTAACAGTGTGTCTTCACAGATTCATGGCTCAGCGCAATTAAGAAACTCTTAAACCGGAGAAGTTGCGTTGACTCGTCTCGAGTGTAACAAACAGTTGGATGATTGTTAGGGATGTCTCTTAATTATTTGCGTACTTTCAGCTAATTGTTGTGTTTGAATCAAAAATCTTTTATTTAATTCGAAATTGTAATGTAAAATATTATTACATGTGAAATAATCTCCTTATGATAATAGTAGGACTTTTAATCTGAAAATTTTAATCCACATCATCATTCTCCTCTTTGACCGAAACCTTTCAGCAAACGTATTAAAACTTTTGAAACTAATGTTCCCCCAAAATTATAATACAAAGGGGTTTTGCGATGTATGGGATATTTCAGATTAGTTTAAAGTTTTAAAATTTTTGGGATTTGCATTTTATTGGGGTTAAAAAAGGTTCAGTTTCTTTATTAACATTTTATAACAAGATGACCTAAAAATGTTCCCTTTAATAATGTGTTTTTTATGAAGAAAACACACCTTCTTAATGTTGCGGCATTTTTAAAGTAGTAGTTGCAGTGTAGGGCATAATTGTGATTGATAAGTTTTTAATAGCTCCCAACAAGGGGTATTTTTCCTCAACGAACGAAGTGTGTAAGGTAGAATTTCTTTTTTAACTCGTTTGTGTAAAACAAAATGACTACATTAAAAATAAATTCATAATTTAGAAAAACAGTTTTAACTCTAATTTAATTCATAATTAAAAACAACTTAATCTTCATGTTAGAATTTGCTATTTGTAAACTCATTCGAAAATAAAATTGTTAATAATCGCCAGGAGTGAAGTAGTTCAACTATAACCCGTTATAAATCCAAATTATTAAAAAATAGTAATGAATGGATTGAAATTATTGTTGCAGTATGTTTTTATGGTTCTTTATCAACAAATAATCTTAATAAAATTTCCGTTCAGCGATTTTTAATTTCAAGTTAAAAGAAATTTTATGATCTAATAGGTCTTTTTCGAGATTTAGTGATATTTTGAAATGTAATACAAAAATTGTTAATGTAATCATGGATATGATTATGGATCATGTTTATATGGTTCGTTATCAACAATTAATCTTGATAAAATACCCCTTCATCGATTTTATTTTTCAAGTTAAAAGAAATTTGATGATCTAAATAGTCGTTTTCGAGACTTAGTGATATTTTGGAATATAACTCAAAAATTATTAAAGTAATCATGGATGAGATTATAGATCATGTTTATATGATTCATTATAAACAATTTATGATTAACAACATATTTTCTCATGGCTTGTAGTTTTCGAGTTATAACTCAGTTTAATGAATAAGAATGTAGATTTTGATAGTTAAAGAGCACTTTGGTTTGTAACTTAAAAGTAGCAATGAATGGATTGAAATCGTTGTTGCATAATGTTTTTATGGTTTATTATCAACAATTAATCTTGATAAAATATCCCTTCATCGATTTTAATTTTTTAAGTTAAAAGAAATTTGATGGTCTAAAAGTTGTTTTTGAGATTTAGTGATATTTTGGAATATAACTCAAAAATTATTAAAGTAATCATGGATATGATTATGGATCATGTTTATATGGTTCATGATAAACAATTTATGATTAACAACATTTTTTCTCTTTGCTTTTAGATTTCGTGTTATAACTCAGTTTAATGAATAAGAATGTAGATTTTGATAGTTAAAGAGTACTTTGGTTTGTAACTTAAAAATAGCAATGAATGGATTGAAATCGTTGTTGCATAATGTTTTTATGGTTTATTATCAACAATTAATCTTGATAAAATATCCCTTCATCGATTTTAATTTTCAAGTTAAAAGAAATTTGAAGATCTAAACAGTCGTTTTCGAGATTTAGCGATATTTTGGAATATAACTCATAAATTATTAAAGTAATCATGGATATGATTATGGATCATGTTTATATGGTTCATTATAAACAATTTATGATTAACAACATTTTTTCTCATTGCATTTAGATTTCCTGTTATAAATCAGTTTAATGAATAAGAATGTAGATTTTGATAGTTAAAGAGCACTTTGGTTTGTAACTCAAAAATAGCAATGAATGGATTGAAATCGTTGTTGCATAATGTTTTTATGGTTTGTTATCAACAATTAATTTTAATTAAACATTCCTTCATCGATTTTAATTTTCAAGTTAAAAGAAATTTGATGATCTAAATAGTCGTTTTCGAGATTTAGTGATATTTTGGAATATAACTCAAAAATTATTAAAGTAATGATGGATATGATTATGGATCATGTTTATATAGTTCATTATAAACAATTTATGATTAACAACATATTTTCTCATGGCTTGTAGTTTTCGAGTTATAACTCAGTTTAATGCATAAGAATGTAGATTTTGATAGTTAAAAAGTACTTTGGTTTGTAACTTAAAAATAGCAATGAATGGATTGAAATCATTGTTGTATAATGTTTTTATGATTCGTTATCAACAATTAATCTTAATAAAATATCCCCTCATCCATTTTAATTTTCAAGTTAAGAGAAATTTTATGATCTAAATAGTCGTTTTCGAGATTTAGTGATATTTTAGAATGGAACTCAAAAATTATTAAAGTAATCATGGATATGATTATGGATCATGTTTATATGGTTCGTTATCAACAATTAATCTTAATAAAATTTCCCTTCATCGATTTTAATTTCCAAGTTAAATGAAATTTTATGATCTAAATACTCGTTTTCGAGATTTAGTGATATTTTGGAATATAACTTAAAAATTATTAAAGTAATCATGGATGTGATTATGGAACATGTTTATATGGTTCATTATAAACAATTTATGATTAACAACATTTTTTCCCATGGTTTTTAGATTTCGAATTATAACTCAGTTTAATGAATAAGAATGTAGATTTTGATAGTTAAAAAGCACTTTGGTTTGTAATTTAAAAATAGGAATAAATGTACTGAAATCGTTGTTGCATAATGTTATTATGGTGAATTAATCTTAATAAAATATCCGTTCATCGATTTGAATTTTCAAGTTAAAAGAAATTTTATGATCTAATAGGTCGTGTTCGAAATTTTGTGATATTTTGGAATATAACTCAAAAATTATTAAAGTAATCATGGATATGATTATGGATCGTGTTTATATGGTTCATTATCAACAATTAATCTTAATAAAATTTCCCTTCATCGATTTTAATTTCCAAGTTAAATGAAATATTAATATCTAATTAGTCGTTCTAGATTTAGGGATATTTTGGAATATAACTCAAAAATTATTAAAATAATGATGGATATGATTATGGACCAGGTTTATATGGTTCATTATAAACAATTTAAGATTAACAACATTTTTTCCCATGGCTTTTAGATTTCGAGTTATAACTCAGTTTAATGAATAAAAATATAAATTTTGATAATTAAGGAACTTTTTGGGTTATAACTAAAAAATAGCAATGAACAGATTGAAATCGTTGATGCATTATGTTTTTATGATTCTTTATCAATAATTAATTTTAATAAAATTTCCCTTCATCGATTTTAATTTCCAAGTTAAGAGACATTTAACATCTAAATAGTCGTTTTCAAGATTTGGGGATATTTTGTACTATAACTTAAGAATGATCAGAATAACGACGAATTTGATTATAAACTATGTTTTTATACTTCTTTATTAACAACATTCATTGCTAGGTGATGTTATTAACCATAATTAATGCAAAAAATAAATAAATTGTTTAAAATCGTTGATGATAAGATTGGAATAAACCTTAATAATAGAAACTTTCGGATCAAAAGTAAATCGATAAACCCCCTTGAAAAGTGTAATCGTATGGAAATTAGATAGGACTACGTCGTTTCAATATTAAATACGCATTAAAGCCTCACTTTAGCTTGGAAAAGTCGCGATTCGAGAGTTGGAAGGGTGCCGCAATCGAATCGACGCGGGGTGGCTGCCTTTAAAATCTTTAAATCCCTCCCCGAAAATGTTCGTTCACATTAAATAATCTCTTTTCCCTCCATCCTTTGAATAAAACTTTCCTTTTAATAAACACGTCGCACGATGTGAAATTACACATTTTAATCCCCAAATATTTCATTATCATTTTAACGACAACATTAACACTTTATGCTGAAACACTTTCTGTTGGGAATGTCTTAAAGTTTTAATGATTGCGATAAATGTTGATGTGTGATAAGTGTTGGTGTCTTAAGTTTGGTGAAGTTGGTGAGGGGGAGGATTTGAATGAGTGTGTGTGTGTGGTGGCGAAGGAAGGGATGCAAATTTGATAACAAGGACGATTTTGGAATGGCAAGTAGCTTGGGTTTAGGACTAATCCCTTGAAATTGAATGAAACCTGCGCATTTACCAAAGCAGGGGGAACTAGAAAAATGGTTTTGATTAAATTAGGGGAAGGAAATTTTCCGCTGACTGCGCTTATCGATGGTAATCATAACTACATTTTGTGGCAAAAATTACTTACTATCCAACCACTTTGAGTCGTATTTCAAAGTTCTTTTAAAGGTGAATTCTTTGCGACCGGTAGTGAGATTGTGAAGATCCGTTCTGAAAATAACGGTGTCTGCTTTCGTGAATTCGGCGTTCGTTCCGGAATAAAGTCCCGGCAAATCACCCGGATTTCCGTTCTCGACCCATACGGCCGTCGAATTGTCAGTCGGGTCGTAAGGACACTTTGCTATTCCCATACCGATCCCAGGTACGAAGGTGTTTCGGCTTAAATGCGTCAAATTCGCCTGAAAATATAAAACAACAACATCAGTAATGTGTATAACGTTAACATAATATTTGGGTCGTTGCATAAACACCGGTTAAGGGAACGTTTGACGTGAAAGTTTTATATTGTAACTACTAAAACTGATGGAGAAAGACGTAATAAATAAAAACATTCGTAATGCATCAAGAAATCATGATCCGTACTTATTTCATATTTATCTATCACCAGTTTCTAGTGATATAGCATAAATCGCGAATTGTCAAAATTGGGCGATGTTTCTTAATATAACACAACAAACTATTAATATAAGATTTTAAAAAATATACCACGTCATCCACCCCAGCAATCAAGTAAGAGGTGGAAGCACAATAATTATAAGAGAAAATATCGAACACCACGAAGAAGTTCCCTGCAAAAGGAGGAAATACAGATGTGTGTAGTTGGGGTGAAGACAGTTGCAGCAGCATATTTTCCGCCGAGGCACAACAACAAGAAAGAAGATTGTAAAAGCTATTTACACCATCTTGGAAACAAATTTCTCTTGGGTGGTGATTTTAATGCAAAAAAACACAGAATGGGGATCAGAAGTCGCAACCACAAAAGGGAAAGAACTACTGAAAGCCATTCAAGAGATTGAAGCTAATTATTATTCAACAGGAAACCCAACCTACTGGCCAACTGAAGCGGATAAGAGACTTGATTTATTAGACTTCTTTATATCAAAGAAATTTTCACCCAATTTTCTGAAAGTGCATGATAACTTCTCCACTGCTTCTGATCATACAGCAGTGGTACTGACTTTAAGTGAAAAGATAATTGAAAAGGAAAGAAAACCAACTCTGACGAATGGTACAAAGGATAGGGAAAGCTTTAGATTAGAACTTGAAGGAAAAATGCGGTTGAGCGTTCAACTGAACACTAAAGAACAACTGGAAGATGAAGTGGAAAATTTTGTATCAGATATTCAGCGTGCAACATGATATAACACAAAAGAATTGAAACGTAAAACTGCTGGCAACAATTACCCTCAAGAAATTGAAAAATTAGTTGCAGAAAAGAGAAAAGCTAGAAGAACATGGCATCAGACAAGACATCCATTCGATAAAAGTAGATTCAATAATCTGACACAACAATTAAAACGAGAAATAAAGAAGACAAAGAAAGAATCGGTCAAGAAATACCTATTCATTATGGAGAGCAATAAGAAAGCTCAAACGTCCAATTACTCAAAATCCATCTCTCAGAACTGATAATGGAACGTGGGCAAGAACTAATAAACAAAAAGCAGAATTATTTGCAAACCATTAACCATTATATAAGTTCCGATAGTGCAGTGATCAAAGAATGTGTTAATATTAATGAACGTATAAAACATGNAAATAGTCGTTTTCGAGATTTAGTGATATTTTGGAATATAACTCAAAAATTATTAAAGTAATCATGGATATGATTATGGATCATGTTTATATGGTTCATTATCAACAATTAATCTTAATAAAATTTCCTTTCATCGATTTTAATTTCCAAGTTAAATGAAATATTAATATCTAATTAGTCGTTCTAGATTTAGGGATATTTTGGAATATAACTCAAAAATTATTAAAATAATGATGGATATGATTATGGACCAGGTTTATATGGTTCATTATAAACAATTTAAGATTAACAACATTTTTTCCCATGGCTTTTAGATTTCGAGTTATAACTCAGTTTAATGAATAAAAATATAAATTTTGATAATTAAGGAACTTTTTGGGTTATAACTAAAAAATAGCAATGAACAGATTGAAATCGTTGATGCATTATGTTTTTATGATTCTTTATCAATAATTAATTTTAATAAAATTTCCCTTCATCGATTTTAATTTCCAAGTTAAGAGACATTTAACATCTAAATAGTCGTTTTCAAGATTTGGGGATATTTTGTACTATAACTTAAGAATGATCAGAATAACGACGAATTTGATTATAAACTATGTTTTTATACTTCTTTATTAACAACATTCATTGCTAGGTGATGTTATTAACCATAATTAATGCAAAAAATAAATAAATTGTTTAAAATCGTTGATGATAAGATTGGAATAAACCTTAATAATAGAAACTTTCGGATCAAAAGTAAATCGATAAACCCCCTTGAAAAGTGTAATCGTATGGAAATTAGATAGGACTACGTCGTTTCAATATTAAATACGCATTAAAGCCTCACTTTAGCTTGGAAAAGTCGCGATTCGAGAGTTGGAAGGGTGCCGCAATCGAATCGACGCGGGGTGGCTGCCTTTAAAATCTTTAAATCCCTCCCCGAAAATGTTCGTTCACATTAAATAATCTCTTTTCCCTCCATCCTTTGAATAAAACTTTCCTTTTAATAAACACGTCGCACGATGTGAAATTACACATTTTAATCCCCAAATATTTCATTATCATTTTAACGACAACATTAACACTTTATGCTGAAACACTTTCTGTTGGGAATGTCTTAAAGTTTTAATGATTGCGATAAATGTTGATGTGTGATAAGTGTTGGTGTCTTAAGTTTGGTGAAGTTGGTGAGGGGGAGGATTTGAATGAGTGTGTGTGTGTGGTGGCGAAGGAAGGGATGCAAATTTGATAACAAGGACGATTTTGGAATGGCAAGTAGCTTGGGTTTAGGACTAATCCCTTGAAATTGAATGAAACCTGCGCATTTACCAAAGCAGGGGGAACTAGAAAAATGGTTTTGATTAAATTAGGGGAAGGAAATTTTCCGCTGACTGCGCTTATCGATGGTAATCATAACTACATTTTGTGGCAAAAATTACTTACTATCCAACCACTTTGAGTCGTATTTCAAAGTTCTTTTAAAGGTGAATTCTTTGCGACCGGTAGTGAGATTGTGAAGATCCGTTCTGAAAATAACGGTGTCTGCTTTCGTGAATTCGGCGTTCGTTCCGGAATAAAGTCCCGGCAAATCACCCGGATTTCCGTTCTCGACCCATACGGCCGTCGAATTGTCAGTCGGGTCGTAAGGACACTTTGCTATTCCCATACCGATCCCAGGTACGAAGGTGTTTCGGCTTAAATGCGTCAAATTCGCCTGAAAATATAAAACAACAACATCAGTAATGTGTATAACGTTAACATAATATTTGGGTCGTTGCATAAACACCGGTTAAGGGAACGTTTGACGTGAAAGTTTTATATTGTAACTACTAAAACTGATGGAGAAAGACGTAATAAATAAAAACATTCGTAATGCATCAAGAAATCATGATCCGTACTTATTTCATATTTATCTATCACCAGTTTCTAGTGATATAGCATAAATCGCGAATTGTCAAAATTGGGCGATGTTTCTTAATATAACACAACAAACTATTAATATAAGATTTTAAAAAATATACCACGTCATCCACCCCAGCAATCAAGTAAGAGGTGGAAGCACAATAATTATAAGAGAAAATATCGAACACCACGAAGAAGTTCCCTGCAAAAGGAGGAAATACAGATGTGTGTAGTTGGGGTGAAGACAGTTGCAGCAGCATATTTTCCGCCGAGGCACAACAACAAGAAAGAAGATTGTAAAAGCTATTTACACCATCTTGGAAACAAATTTCTCTTGGGTGGTGATTTTAATGCAAAAAAACACAGAATGGGGATCAGAAGTCGCAACCACAAAAGGGAAAGAACTACTGAAAGCCATTCAAGAGATTGAAGCTAATTATTATTCAACAGGAAACCCAACCTACTGGCCAACTGAAGCGGATAAGAGACTTGATTTATTAGACTTCTTTATATCAAAGAAATTTTCACCCAATTTTCTGAAAGTGCATGATAACTTCTCCACTGCTTCTGATCATACAGCAGTGGTACTGACTTTAAGTGAAAAGATAATTGAAAAGGAAAGAAAACCAACTCTGACGAATGGTACAAAGGATAGGGAAAGCTTTAGATTAGAACTTGAAGGAAAAATGCGGTTGAGCGTTCAACTGAACACTAAAGAACAACTGGAAGATGAAGTGGAAAATTTTGTATCAGATATTCAGCGTGCAACATGATATAACACAAAAGAATTGAAACGTAAAACTGCTGGCAACAATTATCCTCAAGAAATTGAAAAATTAGTTGCAGAAAAGAGAAAAGCTAGAAGAACATGGCATCAGACAAGACATCCATTCGATAAAAGTAGATTCAATAATCTGACACAACAATTAAAACGAGAAATAAAGAAGATAAAGAAAGAATCGGTCAAGAAATACCTATTCATTATGGAGAGCAATAAGAAAGCTCAAACGTCCAATTACTCAAAATCCATCTCTCAGAACTGATAATGGAACGTGGGCAAGAACTAATAAACAAAAAGCAGAATTATTTGCAAACCATTAACCATTATATAAGCTCCGATAGTGCAGTGACCAAAGAATGTGTTAATATTAATGAACGTATAAAACATGTAACGCCAAATGAAGTTGCTAAAGAAATTAGGAAATATATAAGTGCAAAGAAAACACCAGGTTTTGACTTGATTACAGGAGAAATCTTAAATAACCTCCTAGAAAAGCATCTTAAAACTAACTATAAATGCAACGTTTCGTTTACGACACGTACCTAATATGTCAAAGATTGCAAAGGTAATTATGATATCTAAGCCAAAAAAATCACCATATGATGTGGCTTCATACAGACTAATTTCGACCAATCTTATTCCTGAGTATCAATTCGAATTTAGAGAAAGATATAGTACAATTGATCAAGTACACAGAATATCTGATCTAATAGAAGAAACTCTCGAAGGAAAAAAAATTTGCTCTGCTATATTTGTTGCTGTAGCCCAAGCATTCGATAAAGTATGGCATAAAGGCCTAATACATAAAATTAGTAAATTATTGCCAAAACGGTATGGATGTCTTAGAATCTTATATTACAGACCGATTATTTCGAGTCAAATACGAAAACGAATTTACTGATTTAAAAGAGATAAAAGCTGGTGTTCCACAAAGTAGTGTACTTGGGCCAATTCTGTACCTGCTATACACAAACT